TGTAGGGAACTTTTGTTACCTGTTGAACAATCTTCCTCCGGGAGAATATTTTGTCGATTTCCATTTCGCAGAGATTATTAATACCAACGGGCCTAAGGGTATAAGAGTGTTCAATGTCTATATTCAAGGAGAGAAGGCAAGTGGACCAAAAACGCCAATTGTAATGTTTTCTAGATTCGAGCCTGCTTGGTGCTAAATACAATTGCTTCTGCAATGTCAGGTCCTAGAAGAGTTTGATGTTTTCTCGGTAGTTGGTGCAAACAGACCACTCCTGCTGGTTGATTTAAGGGTCGTGGTGACTGAAGATGGGTTGATTAGGATAAGGTTTGAAGGAGTGAATGGAAGCCCAGTTGTTTGTGGGATATGTGTGAGGAAAGCACCACAGATTTCAGGTAATGCTGTTTTATTCCATTCCTCTGATCTTAGATCGTCTCTGCTTTGTTAAACCCATGAAAACAACTTAGTTTTTAAATTTCTATCTCATGAATGTGACACATTCTTGCACAGTGCGAAGGGTTTCAGAAGATTATATCAAATGCAGGAATTGCTCTGCTGAAATAGAGATTTCTCCGGCCCGGGTAACGTTTATTTAGCATGCTGGTTCCTATGATGTAAGAATATGAGAGCCCTGCTTATCTTGTTTTGTTATGTGTTGAGCAGAAGAGGCTTATGCGAGTGAAAGCTCAAGACCAGTATGAGAAGAAGATACAGGACCTTTCAAAGCAGTGCCAACTTAAGACAAATGAGTGCCATGAAGCATGGATGTCATTGACTTCTGCAAATGAACAGCTGGAGAAGGTGATGATGGAGCTCGACAATAAGACATTTGAGGCTTGCTCTCTAGGTAATGCTACACTTGAAAACGGGAACTTTCCCGAAAGAATCTATACATACGTCCTTGACGGGGTTGATTTCATTTTGATGCTTTCCTGAAGAACTTCCTTTTCTCCTCTTCTGCTCCTCTGATAGATCAAACCATGACACAGCAAGCTGTTAGTTTAAGAACCATAACAAGCAAGTACGAAAGCGATAAGAGACATTGGTCCTCAGCAATTGGAGATTTACAAGAGAGAATAAAGGTATCTAGTGTAGTAATTTTCGTAAGCATCAACATATCTAAATATCATTGTATGTACATGTTTCACCATGATATCTTGGAATTAACCAAAATTTTACCGACAGATAATGAAAAAAGAACAGTCTCAGCTATCTCAGAAGGCACATGAGTGTGTTGAATCCATCCCTGAAATGTACAAAATGGTTGATGGAGTTCAGGCACTTGGTGAGTCTTGGGCAATTTTGAATACTTTAAGCTGGAAAGTAAAAGATGCAATTTCATGAGCTAATACTATTTTCAACTCAAAACAGTCTCACAGTGTGAAGAACTCAGGCACAAGTACATCAAAGAGCAGGCCAAACGAAAAGAGTTGTATAACTATATCCAGGAGACCAAAGGCATTCATTTCTTCTCCTTTCTCAATCTTTATTTTCTTGATATCACATTATAAAGCCTATACGTAAGTCACTAATAGGACCCCCTTTTATCAGGCAATATTAGGGTTTTTTGCCGATGCCGCCCTTTGAACAAGGAAGAGACGTCATCTGGGTGTTCAACAATTGCTGACTTCGATGGAGCAAATGATGGAGAGCTTGGAATCACCACAGGAAACTCTTTTAAGAAAACTTTCAAGTTTGACAGGGTTTTTACCCCAAAAGATGGTCAAGGTAAATATGTTATGGCCAAATTAAAAGATAAATATACGAGTTATAATAACACGGTAATTTGACAGATGTTCTTTCATGACATTACAGTGGATGTCTTTGCGGATGCATCACCACTGGTTGTTTCTGTGTTGGACGGCTACAACGTGTGTATTTTCGCATATGGACAAACAGGAACAGGAAAGACTTTTACCATGGAGGGTACTCCACAGAACAGGGGTGTCAATTATAGGACACTCGAACAGTTATTTGAAGTTGCTAAGGAAAGGAGGGAAACAGTTTCATATAATATATCCGTTAGTGTCCTTGAGGTCTACAATGAACAAATAAGAGACTTGCTGGCAACATCTCCAGGATCAAAGAAGTAAGAAAATGGAACACTCATTCATCCATATGTTTGCACAGGGGTTGAAACAGAAACTTCAACTTTTCTGAGTTGCTTTAGATGCTTGACCTTGTTTTTTTTTATCTGATTTTTTGTTTCCAAGGTTGGAGATAAAACAATCACCTGAGGGATCTCATCATGTTCCTGGATTAGTAGAAGCAAAAGTGGAAAGCATCAATGAAGTCTGGAATGTGCTTCAAGCTGGAAGCAATGCTAGAGCTGTTGGATCCAATAATGTCAACGAGCATAGCAGTCGCTCTCACTGGTATTGGGATATTTGCCCGCTCGAATTGTGCTGTTTCATTTTTGTTTTTGTTTATTTATATGTCCCAAATACCGATCTTTCTGTGATCTTTTCAGTATGCTCTGTATAATGGTAAAAGCCAAGAACTTGATGAATGGTGAGTGCACAAAAAGCAAGCTTTGGCTTGTAGACTTGGCCGGAAGTGAAAGGTTAGCCAAAACTGACGTGCAAGGTGAGCGTCTCAAAGAAGCGCAAAATATCAATAGGTCTTTATCTGCACTCGGGGATGTGATTTATGCATTGGCAACGAAAAGCAGTCACATTCCGTACAGGTATGCCCACATTTTAAAGCTTGGAAAAGTTTTTAGCTTTTGATTGCCATATAACATTTTCCATTTCAACACTCAGGAACTCAAAGTTGACACATTTGCTTCAAGATTCATTAGGTAAGAAGCATGATTTACCGACTGTTAGAGGATAATTAAAATCTGTTGTCAAATTTGATGCCTATAGAGACAGAGAACTTCTTTTTGCAGGAGGTGACTCGAAGACTTTAATGTTTGTGCAAATCAGTCCATCTGAGCAGGACATGAGTGAGACTCTGAGTTCGTTGAATTTTGCAACTCGAGTTCGGGGGGTTGAGTTGGGTCCTGCAAAGAAGCAAGTTGATACCAGTGAGATTCAGAAGTTGAAAACAATGGTATACCTTCTGCATGTACATGTGTATATATATAATATATATATATATCAGGCTCCTCTTTTCATTTCACAAAATTCTCTGATCGGCATTTCTTCCTTTTGCTTTTTTTTTTTTACAAAAGCTTGAAAAAACAAGGCAAGAATGCAGATCTAAAGATGAATCGCTAAGGAAGCTGGAAGAGAACTTTCAAAACCTGGAGAGTAAGACCAAAGGGAGAGACCAGACATACAGAAGTCTCCAGGAAAAGAACAAAGAACTCGAGAGCCAGCTTGAGTCAAGAATTTCTTTGCACAGCCAGTCGGAGAAGCAATACACGCAGCTTCTAGAAAGACTAAAGGGAAGAGATGAGATGTGTAGCAACCTCCAACAGAAGGTTCGTTTTCTACTTCTAAAGCTTTGATTGCTAAGTTACAATGGATCACTAACAGAAGTTGTGTTTTGTTCTCGTAGATCAAGGAGCTAGAGTTTAAGCTTCGAGAAATTCAACAATCGGAATCTGCAACTTTTCAGCAGAAGGTTTCATATATCGTTACATTATGTCAGTGTTTTGGTGAGAGAGATTGGAAGAAAAAAACGACTGATATAGCTCTTAAACTCTTTACGCGTTCAGGTCAAGGATCTTGAGAATAAGCTGAAAGAGTCTGAAAGCAGTTCCCTAACATTGCAACAGAAGGTTTGTCGAGATTTGGTTTCAAAGTTTCCTCATTTTCGTGTACTGTCAAGGAGAAGAAAACTCGAAAGTCCTCTCTATTATGTTCATCGTTGTTTTTTTTTTCTCAGATTAAGGAGCTGGAGTTGAAACAGAAAGAAGACAAAGACCGAGACCAAGAAGTAATTTTGCTACGTCTTAAGGTAGGTTTTGTCTCTCAGTGTCTCGGGACATTCTTGGCTTTTAGGTTCTTCTCAATCTCACAGTATGTTTCGAAATCCGTTTGCAGGTGACAGGACTCGAAGCCAGTATAAAGGAGCAAGAGCAGCACATACATCAACTGGAATCTCGTGAATTCCCCGATGCCATCAATGCTACTACTGCGAGCGAAGCGAAAACTTGCTTCAAAGACGATAACTTCCCAAATGAGAAAAACGAGTCTAATATCTTAAGGGCTTCTAACTCGATTAACCGTCCAAGTAGCCATTATCGCAGGTCATCCATTTCTCGAAGGAATGATTCTTTTCTCCACGAGCCTGTGAGAAAGAAAAGGGATTCAAGAAGTGGTGACACAGAGAACAATAACAACGATGCTTCATCGGTTCACATGAACGAGAAACGGATCAGGAAATCAGACCCACCAAAAGTGGTTTCGAGACTGACCAGACCTACAAGACAAGCTGCTGGTTCATCAAACCAAGCGCCCGTTGCTCCCAGGAGGTTTATTAACAGGGAACAACAACAAGCTCAGGGAGCCAAAGAGAGGGACACCAGGAAGAAGATTTGGTCAAGATAATGGAGTCACATGTAAGAAAAAAAACTGGTCTGATTCTACATTAGGTTAGATTCGACACGAGTTAGATTTCTTTGTGTGTCTTGACAAAGTAAAATCTTGGATTTGTTATAACCAAAGTTTTACATTCATTCTGACTTGGGTCTGTCTGATGATGTGTATGTATGACCATAGAGATGCAGAATTTCATACAAGCGTGCGTTTTTTATGGCATACGTATACACATGCATGCATGCATGTGTACATATATGTCGCTGGTGTATATTGGTGTGTTCTTGAAGAAGGAAAACGACAGAATGTGAACATCTACGGAGAACGAGGAGGAATCAGACACGTGGAAGATACAAGAATGCTAGTGGTAAGGGGACATAAGCCTCAGTCAGTTACGTTAATGGTAGTTTCACTGACACAACTGAAGAATCTACTTAGACTGATCTGACACATAGGGCGTATCCCACATACGATCCGTACACTCTCTCCGTTTTGGTAGGGTTGGAAGTGTTGGTAATTTAAATTCCCAAATCATCTTTAAGGAAAACGAATTACGGCAATTCCACATTAATCTCGTAGGAAAGGAATAACACTTTTAAAAAGTATTGATAATAATGCTTTGAAAGTATGTGCAAATTCCTGCATGTTTATGAATTATAATATACGCTATAACTCGTTTTATATATCATATTATATTAATTATGACAACGGTTAGATGGCATAATATTAAATATCCGAGGAGAATATAATGAGATCCTAATTAAGATAAATGGGAATTCCTTTTCTACCTTTGTGAGCTGATTCCGTACTTCTACTCTGGTCCTTAGCCATTATATTAACATTAGCAGTGACAGTAATAATAATAATAATAATAATATCTAAGAACTATGATTAAATAGAGGGTAACTAGGGTAAATCATTATTGAAATGATGGTTGTGCAAATCTCCCCAAGCTTGGAAGCCATGCCATATCCCCATATTGCCATCGCCATTCCCGTTATTTTCAACATTGCCACTGACCGCCACAGCAGGAGATGGTGAAGAGGAAGAAGGCTGAAGAAGAAATCCAGCACTCTCGAAAAACCACTCACCTGTCGTCGTCGTCGTCGTTGTCGTCGAAGCAGATTCACTGTTTGCAACCATATTAGTGCCCTCTCTCGTCGGAAACCCACCGGAGACGACACTCTCCGGTGCCGTCGGAAAGACCAGCGGAGGGTCGGCGTTTGCTGCTGTCTCCTTCTGTGTCTGATCAAAGTGTTCGCGGAGATGCATGGCGAGCCTTCGCTGCTGAAGTTTCCGGTGCAAATCCTTGTTTAAAGAACTCAAAGACTCGATCGATGAAGCCAGATTCGCATCTATGTTCAAAGATCCCACGTGGGTATTGTTTTCCGGCATCAAGGAGCCGGAAAACCCACCGGAAGTCGGATAAGAGTACATTGCGCTGTTCAATTGAAAGCTACCAAGATCATCATGAGAGGCTAGACCAGGAAAAAACTTGAACCCACCAGCACTTATGTTGTCGGAAGGAGCTAGTTTGTAGGAATCAGAGAGGATGGTGGAAGAAGAAGGAGAAGAAGAAGACTTGAGGGGTCTCCGGTGCTTGCGGGAGCCGCCGCCGACGGGGACATTGCGTAGGGCGCCGCCACGTGTCCAGTAGCGCCGGCAGTTCTTGCAGAAGTGTCGGGGCTGAGAGAAGCTGTAGTTGTTGTAGTAACAGAACTTTGTGTTCGTCGAGTCGCATCTCGGACACCTCAGCGGCGGCGTCGCCTTCCGGGGGCCCTCTTCTGTGTTCGGTGGCTTGGATGCTGACGTCATCATGGGTGAAGAAGAGAGATTAGATTAACAGGTGAGGGAAATGAATAGTTTCATGGGTGAGAGAGATGGGAGGAAGATGGAGTCTTGTGATCTTCATGAATCTTCTCCAGCTTTTTTTTTTTTTTGGGCTCTGGTTTGTTTCCTGAGGCGGAAAAAAAATCTCCAAGAGACTGTTTATATACAGGCAGATGTATATATACGTGTATCAGTGTATGTATAATCATATGTGAATATTTGCGTGCGTTTTTTCACATACAACGTAAAAACCCATCAAAATTTCCTGTGGTTCTTTGACCAAGTCCATGGCGTTAGTCGACGTAGTTTAGGATCCACGTGTTTATAGTCGATATAATTCCTAGTTCTGGTAAAAGGTTTTATGGTCACAATCACAACGATCCTATCCTACACCGAACCAATAAGCTAATACGAACTAACAACATTAATAACGTGCATGGTTGTTGATCTAATTTCGTAAAATTGTGCTTCATTCGGTCTCCGAATCTTAAATGACACAAGATCATAGGTGGTCTGCATAAAGTGGATATATATATATATATGTGTGTGTGTGTGTGTGTACATTAGATATAGGTTTTTGAAGAAGTGCTTGTGTGGTAATAAAGTTCACGAGAGAGGGGCATAACTAAGTTACGGTGTTCTTTACGTGTTGGTCTTAAATTAAACTATAGGTGGCGCCGAGGTTCTCGTAATTGAGAACCCACAAGTGTCGCAGTTTCCGATACATCATGGCATCATACATGATTATAACGTTTTACGTTTCATGTAGTTATGCAAAATTAGCACATGAGTCGGGTACCCATTGGACAATGGTTGGATTTTTTGACAGCGCTCATGGCATATGTGGGATTCAAACCCAAGATCATACTTGGGAATGCTACCCACGGTTTTCCCTATTGTAAAAACATATATATTTATAAAATTTACCGTTGATTAAAAAAAAACCCAAGATCATACGGTTCGTGATTGTGGGTTCATATTCAATCACTAGAGGGACGTGATTTACATTTTTTAAAAAAAGCACATTAAATTCAGGCCATGTATCATAATACATGGAGAAATTTATAGGGTTTAAGTTATTTTTGGGGAAGATTAACCAAACTCGTATAATCTATGCGATGGCAACGTTAAAACTATACATGGATCATCATCCTACCATATTACAATTCAGTTTTTGAGTAAAAAGCACTTTAAAATCAAAGTCATGCCTCATAACACTATTCATTCGAGGAAATTTTTAGGCTTATAATTGATTGGTTTGGAGATTTTCATGAACAAACACGCTATCTGGTTTATAACCTCACACACACACACACACACACATATATATATATATATATGCATGTAGTGACTATAACGAGTGATCAAAACAAGACCCATGTCGATTTGGTATAAGCAATTAAAATACAATCTGTGGATTGAGTTAGAAAAAAGCGAGTGGCGACCAACCAAGATATATAGAACAGAAATCTATGGGGAAAGTGGTCGTACTAGGTAAAGAGAAGAAACCCATGTCTTGGTATGGGTTTGAGCTATGGAGACTGGATCTCATGGGGAACAAGGAGAACAGTCCGTTGACTCTCCAAGAGACCACTCTTGATTTTTTATTTTTTTATTTTATTTAGATATGTTAAGTATGGGTAAATTGATATCGCCTTCTCCTCCCATGGTGACTACAAATCTTGGAATCATCCACTGTCTTCTTTCGTTATCCATTGATTTGGCTAGTTTTGGCCATAACTTCACTGCTATGTTATTTGTATGGTTTGCAATATCGAATCTTGATTACCCAACAGTTGGTCATCTATTGGTTAAGAGGTGACAAAGTCATTCTTAAAGTCCTGGGTTACATTCCACTTGTGAGGATGGATGTAATTTGTTGATCAATATGGTCCATATACAAAGTTTGATCCCCAATCTAAGGTGGATGTAGTCGGGCCGAAGACTCGGAGAACCATCATAGTTATCAAAAAAAAAATTGAATCTTGATCGACTAGTCTATAGAACTGGTAAGTGTGAGGGACAAGAAGTCTAGGAGGCCAAGAATCTTGCTTTAATCTGTCCAATATCATAACATCAGCTCTTTAATTGAATGTGTTTTATTTCCCCTTACCGGTTTTGTTAGGGTTTGATACAAACACGACCAAAGTTTGTAATTTGTAGAAGCTGTATACATGTACGTATGTATAGTGTATAATAAAAACGCGATGCATACGACCGACCCTTGTAATAGTAATAATCATTAAGGCGCAGCGTACATAAGAGGACATGTGAGATGGCGATAATATATCATGTTCATATTGGATCGTCAACGTGAAGGAGAGAAAGCAGAGACACAGAACCGGAACAAACACGTGACTTGTGAGAGTGTTGATCCTCGTGATCTCCCTATACACACAAAACGTTTCCTTCGCAGATCCCACAAAAAAATAGTTATGCGTTCTTGTTTTTTCTCACATTTCTCGCCTTTTGTTTCGGGTTCGTACAACTTGAGAAACTTTCATGAATTTCTTCAGTAATCTATAGTGATAATTCAATCCAAGTATTTTATATAGTGATAGAAAACTATAGATTATACTTGTTATAGATTTCTTGTAATGGATGAAGATATAAAAGAAAATTAGATATATATTTTCAAACAATATATCATACAGATATCCACTAATTGGTGACTCAACGGTTGAGAGGTGACAAAATTCCTTCGAAGTTCTGGGTTCGATTTCACTGGTTGAGAAGGGAGTTTAATTGTGTGACTAAAAGTTGACTACGGATTCGAAGATTAAGTGAGTTGATTCTGATTATTAAAAAAAAAAGATATCACACAGATATCACAACTAAACAAAGAAGTAAGGTTCAACGTATTTATTGGCGACATCGATGACAAATCGGTATTAGAATAAACGGTCGATTTAATTTAGATATAGAGAGCGAGTTGATTAAAAAAAATTGTATAAAAATCTCAAACGATCTTCATTTGAATATTGAATAACATAGAAAATTATCTGAAATAAAATTTGAATCCTCTCAATATCAAAAGAGACGAGTTTCTCCATACTTGTTGAAGATTTCTTGTAATAGGTGAGAAGTTCAAGAAAAGAATGAAGAAATTCAAATTGAATATTAATATCTTTTTTTAAATAAATAAATAAACGTTATGAGATATATATTAATTCCATATATATGTTTTAAATATGGAAATGCTATTTACATAGCTATCCCTATTTTTAGTTGAACATTAATATATATATGATATCCAAAATATTATTTTTATATAAATATCAAAATTCTTTAAATATAATTAAAAATCATTCATATTTAAACAAATTATATAAACACGTTTAAACATCATATTAATACATGAGTTCGTATTTTCTTCATCATTTAATCATCAATTAAATAAATTTTATCACAAAAACGTCAGCATTATGTAAAAAACAACTACGCAGGAGTTCAATTTTATCTGTTGAGTGGTGTTTTCTAGCAAAGATCCAACGAGATTCACTTTTCAAGATCCAAAAGCTTGTCCCAAAAACAGAAAAAGGAAAAAAAGAAAAAGAAGACGACATGAATTGACGACAACGATCACTCATAAACTAATCATATATCACAAGGTTTCGTTATAAAACTTTATTGCAAAGACCCACGATCATATTTATGATCAGACATTATATATATATATATATATGTGCATGGAAAATCATGAAGGTCTTGTGGAGGCCAAAGTATGGCCGACATCGATGACGAAACGGTACCTAACATCGGAATTAGAGAGCCTTTCCAATGCGGAATTCACATAATCCATTGGAATAATCTCCACGTCGGCTTCGATGTTATGTTTCGCTGCAAATTCCATCATCTCTTGCGTCTCCTTTATTCCTCCTATCCCACTTCCCGCTACGCTCGTATACATAAAAAACCGACGGTTCAAAGATATCACATCTACCGATTGGTGAGTATATCCGATTTAAATCCACTATGGAAAGTTCAAAGGGAAACCTACTTATCCAGATGCGATTAATTCTTCATAGTTGAATCACAAAGGTTGCATGGTTTTAAAGAGTTTTCTAAAATTCTCCATTCATGTGGGGGATTGTTGGAGTTTTTTTAATTAAATGAAAGGAGATATTTTTATATGTTATTCTCCACATTTATATTCTAAAACTTAAAAAATATTTATGACTTTTGGGAGTTTTACAATTTTTCAATCCTATAAATAGGAGGCTTTGTTTTCATTTTTAAGAACACCAAGAAAAACAAACAAGAGTTTTCTAAACAAAAGAAAACACAGATTTTCTCTTTGTGATTCAAACCGTTCTTTGAGTTCGACAAGGCACCGGAGTTTGAAGTACCACTGTTTTCTTTTGTTTAGAAAACTCTTGTTTGTTTTTCTTGGTGTTCTTAAAAATGAAAACAAAGCCTCCTATTTATAGGATTGAAAAATTGTAAAACTCCCAAAAGTCATAAATATTTTTTAAGTTTTACAATATAAATGTGGAGAATAACATATAAAAATATCTCCTTTCATTTAATTAAAAAAACTCCAACAATCCCCCACATGAATGGAGAATTTTAGAAAACTCTTTAAAACCATGCAACCTTTGTGATTCAACTATGAAGAATTAATCGCATCTGGATAAGTAGGTTTCCCTTTGAACTTTCGTCTTGACTATTTTGATACATATTCGCCAGTCTCGAGAATTACATCCATTCGGGTGTTAATTGCTTTGGCTGCCGTCTATGAATTGCAAATCCATCAAATGGACGTTAAAACCGCCTTCCTAAATGGAGATTTAGAGGAAGAAATCTATATGGAACAACCTGAAGGGTTTGTAGTTCCGGGAAAAGAAGGTAAGGTGTGTCGACTTGTTAAGTCTTTGTATGGACTTAAACAAGCACCAAAGCAATGGCATGCTAAGTTTGACAATATAATGTTGACAAACGGGTTTAAGACGTCCATTTGATGGATTTGCAATTCATAGACGGCAGCCAAAGCAATTAACACCCGAATGGATGTAATTCTCGAGACTGGCGAATATGTATCAAAATAGTCAAGACCTTCTCGTTGTCGAAAACCTTTCACAACTAGTCTCGCCTTGTACTTATCAATAGTACCATCATCTTTCAATTTTCTTTTAAAAATCCATTTGGAACCTAACGGTTTGTTCCCTGGAGGAAGATAAACCAATTCCCACGTATGGTTGCTCAGTATGGATTCAATTTCACTATTGACAGCCTCTTTCCAGTATTGAGCTTCAGAAGAAGTCACAGCTTCTTTATATGTTTGAGGCTCATTTTCCAACATAAATGTTAGAAAGTCTGGACCAAATGAGGTAGAAATCCTTTGACGTGTACTACGTCTAGGTTCTATCTCATTTTGTGCATCCTCTGTATTCACTTCCCGATTTCGCTTGGTTCCTTTATTAATTGATTCACATTCTCTTTTGTACACCGGAATCCTCGATCTCCTGTCGGAAGACAGGTGGGTGGAGAATTACGATAACGGATATGATGATGAAGACGGAGACGAAGCAATGAAGATTAACTGTGATGCTGGTGAAAATGATTGCAATGATGATGGGCCTCGTGGTGATGATGATGATGATGATGGCGATGACGAGAAAACCAGAATAAGCGACGTGGGTATCGTGCTTGATCACGTGGAAGAGACTGAAGAAGAAGGCTGGTGTTTGGTTGAAGAAATGATGATTATTGATCTGTAAATTCCATGTTTCCCAATGATGTATCATGTGCATGGATCTGCATTTCTTCTCTTTTAAAATTTCTTGAACTGTCAGTCCAATGATTTCGATTATAAAACGTTATCATTCTATGCAAAGTTTCCAGCTTTTTATCCTGCGACTAAGCCATTCCTGCAACTGCAAATCATATATTTCAAGGGGAAATAGATGCATCACGAAAGAAAAGTGACTCGATGATACCTTCACTGAATTAATATGAAGACGAAAACCTCCAAAAGGTTCAGAGGGTTTACAAGACGATCGATTCGTATACACGAAAGAAACTTTCTTTATCACCACCAACGTTTCCTATGGCACGCTGAGACTCTCTCTGGGCGGGAAGAGCACATCGGTGCCTTTTCTTACAAGTCTTCTTTTTATATAAAAGAACGCTAACACGAGACAGTGACAAATCTTTCTAAAAACCCCTTTCGAGTGACAGAGAAGGAAGAATTCTTGGGATCCATCTTATTTGCTGCCATTTTCCAGAGTTTCAGAGCTTCCGGCTCTGTGATTTTCCCTTCACCTGAAAGAAAACGTCTTCAATGGAGTTTTCTGGCTGTCTTTTACTTCAAAACCCGCAAAAGGCGAAACCTTTTTTCTTTCCGATTTTGTAGAAATGCAAGTTCTTGAAAGAAAAAGGTGTGGACTTTACCTTCTTTGCATGGTTTTTCGGCGCTTCTGTATCGCCGAGCGCTTGAGGTTTGAAGCAGAGACAAAGGGAACGTTTCTTCTTCGGTTTCTTCTCCTGCTTTCTTCCCTGAAATGAAATCACAGGCAGAATCAGTGTCAAGTTAACCTTACCGAGAAATGACAACTCACAGTCCCTTCAATGTAACCGGAATTTAACCTTTTTCCTTGTCGGGTTCTGGTCGTGAGTTTTAGATTTTGTCATCAAACAGCTGCACGAGGAAAAAATGGCGGAAAAAACGGTGTAATCAGTACCAGAAAACCAATTGTGATGCAATTTAAACGGACAGGGGAAACAGATGGTCTTACTTGAGGAACCCGAATCTCCGGCGAATTGGTATTTCATCTTTGTTCAGAGACGTATGATCAATTCTTTCACTGCATTTACGTGACGAAAACGTGAGATACCGATATTTGGAGAAAAGTAGATAGTGATAGTGAGATTCAAATCTTGTGGATAGCATGCGCTTTGTATCGTTTATAGTTGAAATGTCATTACTCATTATCAACATATCATCCACATATAGACATACAATGACAATTCGATTAGGAGTGTTCTTAATATAGATACATTTATCACTCTCATTAATCTTAAACCCGTTTGTCAACATTATATTGTCAAACTTAGCATGCCATTGCTTTGGTGCTTGTTTAAGTCCATACAAAGACTTAACAAGTCGACACACCTTACCTTCTTTTCCCGGAACTACAAACCCTTCAGGTTGTCACTGTTACCTTTGTTCTTTGCTAGAGCAAGGTTCGCATCAATTGGAGTTCTTGCAACTTTGAAGTCCAAGTATTTAAACTTCTCAAGTACTTTCTCAATGTAATGAGATTGAGATAACGCAAGACTTTCAGGAGTTTGAATGATTTTAATTCCAAGAATTAAATCAGCAACTCCTAAATCTTTCATGTCAAATCTTGTGGATAGCATGCGCTTTGTATCGTTTATAGTTGAAATGTCATTACTCATTATCAACATATCATCCACATATAGACATACAATGACAATTCGATTAGGAGTGTTCTTAATGTAGATACATTTATCACTCTCATTAATCTTAAACCCGTTTGTCAACATTATATTGTCAAACTTAGCATGCCATTGCTTTGGTGCTTGTTTAAGTCCATACAAAGACTTAACAAGTCGACACACCTTACCTTCTTTTCCCGGAACTACAAACCCTTCAGGTTGTTCCATATAGATTTCTTCCTCTAAATCTCCATTTAGGAAGGCGGTTTTAACGTCCATTTGATGGATTTGCAATTCATAGACGGCAGCCAAAGCAATTAACACCCGAATGGATGTAATTCTCGAGACTGGCGAATATGTATCAAAATAGTCAAGACCTTCTCGTTGTCGAAAACCTTTCACAACTAGTCTCGCCTTGTACTTATCAATAGTACCATCATCTTTCAATTTTCTTTTAAAAATCCATTTGGAACCTAACGGTTTGTTCCCTGGAGGAAGATCAACCAATTCCCACGTATGGTTGCTCAGTATGGATTCAATTTCACTATTGACAGCCTCTTTCCAGTATTGAGCTTCAGAAGAAGTCACAGCTTCTTTATATGTTTGAGGCTCATTTTCCAACATAAATGTTAGAAAGTCTGGACCAAATGAGGTAGAAATCCTTTGACGTGTACTACGTCTAGGTTCTATCTCATTTTGTGCATCCTCTGTATTCACTTCCCGATTTCGCTTGGTTCCTTTATTAATTGATTCACATTCTCTTTTGTACGGGAAGATCGCTTCAAAAAATTCAGCATTATCTGACTCAATCACCGTATTCCTCTGAATATCGGGGATTTCAGATTTGTGAACCAAAAATCTGTATGCTTTACTTTTTGTAGCATAACCTATGAAAACACAATCTATCGTTTTCGGTCCTATTTTAACCCTTTTTGGGAGAGGAACCTGGACCTTTGCTAGACACCCCCACACTTTGAAGTAATTCAAGTTAGGCTTTTTTCCTTTCCATTTCTCATATGGAATGGATTGTGTCTTACTGTGGGGAACTCGGTTGAGTATTTGAGTAGTTTCCAACCAAGTTAACTTCAGAGATCATGGCACACAAATCAATATCTTCCACTCCGGAAGCAATCTCCATGATGTTAACATTGTTTTTCTTCTTGGTCTTTGGACCACGACAATCCACATCTCGATGACCAAGCTTACCGCAGTTGTGGCAAGAACCCTTAAATTTCTTAATAAATTTATTCGGGTTATTCTTTTGGTTAGAATAATTCTTTCTTTTCTTACCAACAGATGGAGCATGTTCAATCTTTAGGAGCATCTTCCTTGATATATCTTTGCAATGACAATGTTGTCAAATAAAAGAACATCTTTGCCTGCCACCTCTTGAAATCAACACCGAAAAACTTGGCCGGTTTTTCCGCAGGTGCTGGTGCAGGGGGAGTCACTGTGGGTACAATCACAGGCATAGCAACAACATTTTCAGCCATTTTCTAAAAATCAGAATACCACTTTTTAGTATTACAACTAAAAATATCAGAATTTTAAAACCTTACGGTAATAATTTCTGAACTCGATTATTTAACCACGCGGGTAATAATCTCAAAACCTCAATGAGGAAACCATAAAATATTTAAGTGTTATTTAGATCGTTTCCAGGTAAGAGGGAGCCAACTCTACATATAGAGCGCATAATTATCCAACCTCTTTTCTTGGCAAAACTTTCTCACCATCAACACTTAAATATTTTCTCGGTTTTTTTTTCCGAAATTGAAAAACTTTACTTTGTCTCCCCGGGGACGAAAGTTCGTTTTTCCACCAATAACAAGACAATATATAATAACACAATACACAATAATTTCCTTAAGCTTGTTGGGTGTGTTATTTTATATGTCTCATATTCATGCTTTATTAACTTCCAATTCCATACCAAGAACTTCGAGCTTAATAACTTCTAAAATATACAACCACATCATGCATATCATACATCATTAGAAAGATAATTTCGATATCTATGAAACGACGTCAAGAACATGCAATTCCGATAACGGTATAGAAAGTTATGTTCAAACCAACATCATTATATCAATATGATTTTAAAACCGGAAAATCAAATCCGAACCCACGGCGAACCGTGTCTCCTTAAGGAAATTATTCCCCGCGCGGTACCTACGGTTAAATGGAATATATCCTCCCAGGATAGGACGGACGTACCTCACCGGAACAGTGGTACTTCAAACTCCGGTGCCTTGTCGAACTCAAAGAACGGTTTGAATCACAAAGAGAAAATCTGTGTTTTCTTTTGTTTAGAAAACTCTTGTTTGTTTTTCTTGGTGTTCTTAAAAATGAAAACAAAACCTCCTATTTATAGGATTGAAAAATTGTAAAACTCCCAAAAGTCATAAATATTTTTTAAGTTTTACAATATAAATGTGGAGAATAACATATAAAAATATCTCCTTTCATTTAATTAAAAAAACTCCAACAAAGAGATGGTATATATACGTAATTAATAGACGGTATACGATAAATAAATGTTGCACGAACCCATGATCAAAGAAAATGATGGGAGCTCAAAGGGCTTTTCCGCCACACCAACCACGACAAGTTTTCCATTGGTTTTCAGTAGTCCGATTAGTGGCAATATCGAATGGGATGCCGACACCGTGTCAATTATACCATCCATAGTTCCCATTGCACCCTACAATATTCAACCATGCATGTGTTATCATATATGTATATATATATGTTACGTATGATACGTTTTCTTTTACCTGCATTTGTTCAAGGTCGTTACTGACCAAAAATCCATCAGCCCCAAGATTCTCCAGAGCCTCCTTCCGTTTTCGGACCGACGAACTAACAACCGTAACCTTAGCACCCAACGCCTTGGCAAACTTGACCCCGACGTGCCCTAGACCGCCTAGCCCCACGATTCCAACATGCTTCCCCGGTTCGGCCAATCCAAAGTATTTCATGGGACTATACATCGTAATACCTATATATATATATCACATTTTGTATAATTTGTGTTGCAAATTATACGAAGAACGCTACTTGGGTTGTAACATTAGTTCTAAATTCGATCTAGTAATTGCTTATTAAGGATTAAAGCACGATTATATACAGTAAAAAGTATTCTTATTACAACCTGCACAGAGGAGGGGAGCAGCCGAGGCAAGAGGCAATGTATCGGGAATCTTGATGGCGTAACGTTCCTCTACCACGATGTGGTCGGAGTATCCACCGTAAGTTACCGTACCATCCCGGTGAAATCCATTGTACGTCACAATGGCTTTAGGACAATAGTTCTCCTGGTCGGTAAGGCAGTTTTCGCACGTGCGACACGAATCCATTATGCATCCGACACCTACTCTGTCTCCGACTTTGAACTTGTTCACTTTGGCTCCCGTTTCGGTCACTTCTCCTACTATCTCGTGCCTGTCATTGTCAACGTTTTGGATGAGAGCTTTGGTTTGGAATATCAAAGATAATAACAGAGCATAAATTATTCTATTATAATAACAAAACAGAGCTTATAAATGAAACATTTATTCATTTATCGATGTTGACACGTGACATATTCATAGTGGTATTTGGACAACTTTCAACGTAGAGAAATGAGTGTGTCAGTTCTTATTATAATAATTTATGACTGTTTATGTGTCGCAAGCGCAACTTTGATTACAAAATTTAAAAACTAATTGTCAAACAAGATGCACCAATAGTGGTAATGATGGAAGGTCAGTGCCCATTTTGGCAAGTTTCAAGATAGTGATTTAAGTGTATTTTATAATTTATTTAGCCGAAAGAGTGATCCACTATAAACTTGAGGAGCGTAAACGTGACACATTTCATTCCACTGATGATTTTTAAATTCTATTTATTTCAAAACCAACCCTTTTCAGATTATGGTCGGAACACTTGGAAACAAAGTTCAACGCAAACTCATGTGATCCCAAGAACATGGTTGCGAGGATTCTCACGTTACTTAGAAACAAAGTTCTATATTATTATTATTATTATTGAGAAACATTTAAATCGAGTGATGATATATATTAACAAATAAAAGTATATATACTGATTAGGTGATTGGCATTAATTAATGTTACTTGTAAGAGAAGTAATCGGGTTTTTTCATTAAACATGCAGTGGATTTGGGAAATTAAACAATGGATACCCGGGAACCATGGGATACATGGAAGAGTCCCATTCGTTTCTGAGGCAATGGAGATCGCTATGGCATATTCCACAGTACAAAACCTTCACTCTCACATCCTCATCTCCCGTTTCCCTGCATCATCATCATGCATCACAATCACCATGGCCATCATCACCAGTAAGACTTGAGAGGACAACAGAAAGCACCTTCTAGAGAATACAAAGGGAGAAAGATGGCCGGAGGAGTCCCTTGCAGCCCATCCAAACGCCTCCACAGGGTGCTCACCTCTTTTCTCCATCTCTCTCTCTCTCTCTCTCTCTCTCTCTCTCTCTCTCTCTCAATTTGTGAACACGTGAGTGACGAAATATATATATATATATATATATATATATATATATATATATATATATA